TTGTGGAGAAAGGGGAACCCTACTACACTGCTGGTGGGAATGTAAATTAGTTCAACCATAGTGGAAAGCAGTATGGAGGTTCCTCAAAAAACTCAAAATAGAAATACCATTTGACCGAGGAATTCCACTTATAGGAATTTACCCGAAGAATGCAGCAGCCCACTTTGAAAAAGACATATGCACCCCTATGTTTATTGCAGCACTACTTACAGTAGCCAAGAAATGGAAGCAACCTAAGTGTCCATCAGTAGATGAATGGATAAAGATGTGGTACATATACATAATGGAATATTATTCAGTCATAAGAAGAAAACAAATCCTACCATTTGCACCAACATGGATGGAGCTAGAGGGTATTATGCTCAGTGAAATAAGCCAGGCAGAGAAAAATAAGTACCAAATGATTTCACTCATATGTGGAGTATAAGAACAAAGAAAAACTGGAGGAACAAAACAGCAGCAGAATCACAGAACTCAAGAATGGACTAACATTTGCCAAAGGGAAAGGAACTGGGGAGGATGGGTGGGAAGGGAGGGACAAGGGCGGGGAAAAAGAAAGGGGGCCTTACGATTAGCATGTATAATGTGTGGGGGGTCATAGGGAGGGATGTGCAACACAGAAGACAAGCAGTGATTCTACAGCATCTTACTATGCTGATGGACAGTGACTGTAATGGGGTTTGTTGGGGGGACTTGGTGAAGGGGGGGTAGTCTAGTAAATATAATGTTCTTCATATAATTGTAGATTAATGATAACAAAATGAATAAAAAAAAGGAAAATCAGGAGTCATTGGAGAAATGGCTGATTCTAAGACTGGGGCAGGAAATACATAAGATGAGCTTGGAGCATTTCATAGTGCCAGAAAATAAGGAAGTATTTTAAAAAACTTTATAATGATTGGTGTATGTCAAAGGGACCCAGAAGCCAACCAGAAGAGCTCCCAATGGCCAAAGATGGAACAACATGAGCAACAAAATAAAGTACTATGGAGATTATAACCCAAGTATAAAATAAATATCCAGAAGACCATACTGATATAAATACTTGAATAAATAAATAAATGGGAGAAAATAGAGAAATCCCCTGTGCAGAAGTATTCCAGATAATTTATGTAGATATTCTGCCCTCTGTATAACTCTCCTGTGGAAAAATTTCTCCTCTGTTCCCTGTTTTGAGAGTTTTTTATTATTGTAAGGATGTTTGATTTTGTCAAGTATTTTTTCTACATCAGTTGAGATGATCATGTAGTTTTTACATTCTATTAATGTGATGAATTATATCAATTGACTTTCTTATGTTGAACCACCCTTGCATTCCTGGAAAAAGTCCCACTAAATCATAGTGAATTTCCTCTTACTATGTTGCTGGATTTGATTTACTTTTGTAAAATGGAAACAATAATTATACTTTGAAGAGTCAATGGGAGAAAGGTTTTATATATCATATACATATATAAAATCATATATAATTATATATACATATAAATTATATATAATATACATATCATATATATATTAAAAATTTATAGTTATTATTATTGGATGAGCTCACTCAGAGGGAGTGTCTAGAATGAAAAGAGAACCTAGGAAAGAATTTTATGCAACATTTTTAAGCAATAGGCAGAAAAAGGACATTGACATGGGAGTCTGAGAGTGACCAGACATCTATGTCACATAGCTTAAATTAAAAATGGAATGTACTAGAGCATATATCTGGAAAGCCCAGGAATATAACTGTTTTCAGGCATAGCTGAAATCCAACTTCAGTCTCTGCTTTGCTCTGTTGAATTAATATTGAGGCACGGTGCCTTCACATGCTGATAAAAATGGTCACTGGCAGCTTTAGATTTGCATAATCCTTAATCACTGATTTTTTTAAATCTACCATTAAAATCCCAGTTTAAAAAATCTGAGAAAGGTTTTAATTGACTTTAATTAACCACTTTTGGGGTGGGGGGGTCCATTCTTTTTTGACACAATGTTCATTAATATATAATACTTTTATTTTTTATTTTAAATAGGTGTGAAAGAGAGCAATCATTTTTAAGTCTTCAGGTTCTAATGTGCTCTTTTTGCTTTTAACCTCTCCAGCATAACCCAAGGCAGATTATTTCCCTCTCTGCTTTAAGGGTAGTGCCACAGATGAAGAGCAATTTAATATCTACCCATCTGCCATAGTTCATTAGCAAACTCGCACATGAACTAGGGCATTCTCTATCTTCATGGCAGCTTGCTAGTGCTCCTCTAGTGTGCTCAGCTATTATAGGTTGCTAAGCAATAATCCTAGGGCTTGCATTGTCCCCACTGAAAATGCAGAATGGAAGTAGATGTGTGTTTGGTTACAACTCTAGACAAACACTTCTCTCTTAGAGCCATAAAAACAAGAAAAGAAAAGGATGCATGGCAATAGCAGGCTCAATAAATCAGGATTCTGTACAAGGCTATCTGCAGCTGTCCTTTGATTGAGTGACCTCTGAATTCAAGGATCATAAATTATAGCACTACCCCAAGGGCAAATTAATTCAGAGGTTAAATTGAGTATAGTTTCAAACAGGTACTGGGTTTTTTAGTGGGTATATGCTTTGACATTCCTAAACTTTTTATAGATAGATCGATTCATTTATACGTTCACTCAATAAATGATTTACTGATGTGTCACTTTGTATCAGGCACTATGCTAAACACTGGAATTATTTTTCAGGAATGTCTTACTCAGCTCTTCATAGAATTAAGAGCCTTTCAAACATACATACCTTCACCCTTGTATTAATCTGCCTTCTAACGTACAAAGACCTATTCAGGCACTATAAACATAAATGGTTTCAGCTAAATAAGAAGAGACACCAAAGAATTCCTTATTCATATTTTCAAAGTTCTAGCTTTTTAAGTGACTTTTATCATTTTCTGCACTTAGTGCATGGCCTGCTGCTGGGCTTGGCCTCAGTACAACCCTATTTAAAGAAATAAATAGGAATGAATTATAATCCACACTATAATAAGCTTTGACTCCTATAATAAGACTCTTCACAAGGAGGCATATAACATAAGTCGAACTGATTGCTTATTAAACTGGCAAAAATTGATCCAGCAGAGCTAGTCAAATAGATGTGTGATGTTCTCTTTAAACAAAGGTCCTGTCTGAAACTCAGCTAGCTTGGTCTTACTAGGATTTCTTAACACTTGTACAAAATGTAGAATGACTACTGTGAAGGAAGGAGGGAAAAAATCACTTTTAAACACTTTTTTAGGAAAAGGAACTTTCCTACAAAACCTTGTTAATCTTAGGGCTCTGTAATAAGAACAGAGCTGAGCAGACTGATGATTTCAAAAAAGATTTTTCAAAATTCAAGTTAAGCTCAGAGCCTGAAAAGTACGATAGCTGGGGTAAAGAAATGAGGAATTCACATGGTACATTTAACCATAATATTTTCTATGCAGTTATGTGTTTGAGTGTATTCTGGGAGCTGCCTGGCAAGATTGCATCATTTTAATTTTGACAAGTATAATCATATATATGTATATCAAGGATAAAGACACTTCCTTTGACATGTTGAAATTACAATAACAGGTCCTCTTCCCACTTCCTGTACACACATACGCACGCATATACTCAGAAAGGAAGATGCAGAATATTAGGTTTAATAGGGATGACTGATTACTGAATATATAAGTATATAACATTGAATTTGATAACACAACAAGCAGCTGCAAAGTTTTCCATGTATATTATACACTGGAGTGAAGAGATTTAAACAAAACACACTTCCCTCTACCATACACTGAAAAGCTGTAACAGAAATTGAAAGTACAAGAATGGCAAAGACCACAAATTCTTGACTGATATTTTTTCTAGAAAGGCAAGAAATTACATGATGGATTACATATGTAAAGTTTTTGCAGGTGCAAATTTGGCCATAAAACGATTAAAGTGAACACCTAATTAAATTTATAACAAATTATCTAGATCGCAATTCTGTTTGGAATGTTTGAAATGAAAGAGTTCATTTATAAGCCTGACCCAAGTGATTAAGGTATAGTAAAGTATGTGCATGAGGTAATGGTGGTAGAGCGTGAGAAAGAAGAAAGTAAAATGAAGAAACTGGTTGGGAGGGGACAGACAGAAAGGGACTTGCGAGAAACTTCTATTTAAAAGTTAGTGAATCTGTGAAAACAGTAATAAGTTTATAATAAAGACAGAATAAGTGTTGGGAATTTTGGTTCTTAATGTGTTATGTATTATAATGTGTATTAATAAGAAGAAATACTAAATGATTGTTTTTAATTGGTTTAAAAGACAGAAAAACACTTTGGAGAAAAGCAAGCACCAAAAAGTTATGACTAGCATCTACACTGCAATTTATAGTATAGCAAACACTTCAATAATTATTATTGTAACTTAGCCTAGCACACCCTAGTACATACTAAATACTCAATACTTGTAAACTGAGTTGAAGGGAATTTCTATTAATTGAAATAATAATCGAAATTGTTAAATTTTAAATACTGTAAAGAATTTCTGTCACATAGGATTTCACTAAGCACCTGAAGTTAGAAGAATCATAGTGAAAGGGATGATATCTTGCCCACCTATTTGTTGCCTTTTAGATCCTATCAATTTTCAGCCTGCATAATTATGTGGGATTTGGGTTAAGGATGGGGCTTGAAGTCAAACAGAATAAATGTGTGGTCAAGTACAGGGGTTAAAAATTAGAACAACAATACAATAAGCAGGCTCTATCATGAGGGCTCTTCATTTTATTTTTGTATTAATGGGTTGCCTATGTATTATTAACTCTCTTAGCTAAATTTCCTAAATACAAGATGGCTCAAAAGTATTAATAGAAGGCTAAGGAAACACATCTTAAACTATTCCCTAAATTGTATTTAAGATACCTTAGGGATTACATTTTTAAAAGGCAAAATCTTGAGGAATGCATCCCTAATGGAAACTTAATAATAGTTTTAAATTCTGCTGTGTAGTGGAAAGGCTAGTTCTCTACCTTGGGATTTGACTTCATCTACTGCTTCTTTTGCCACATTGTTGCTGGTGTCCCAGGCAGAACTGTCTGGTGTACCTTGTAAGCTCTGAAAGGAGAAAATAAATACCAATTAAAATGAGGTGCTTTTCCTCACAGTTGCATCAACGCTCCCAATTAAAAAATACTTATGCCTTTAGATTGCCAAAATAAGTGAAATCATATGGTATTTGTCTTTCTCCTCTGGGCTTATTTTACTTACCATAATACCCTCTAGGTCTTTCCATGTTGTCACAAATGGCAGGATTCCTTTCTCTTTTATAGCTGAATAATATTCCATTGTATATATGTACCATCTCTTAGAAAGACAAATTTCATATGATTTCACTTATATGTGGAATTAAAAAAAAAAGGAACAAAATAGCAGTAGACTAAGAGATGCTGATAAGTGACTGGTGGTTACCCTGGGGGAAGAGTGAGGGAGCTACTGTTTTCTTTAACTATTGGATCACCTTCCTTATTTATGGTGGAAAGAAAAACATTTCATCTTTAATGGAGGGAATTAAAGGCTAATTTTGTGAATAAATGGTGGCAAAATAGCTTTTTGTACTCATGCTGATGTATTTTTAAAAATATAATAAAATAGTTTTAAGCTCACATTAGTCGCCTTAATGGTGAATCCATATAGCTATATTAAATTGCTTCCCCTTTTCTATAAAATGTTTTTCCTCACTGAAGTATTCTATTTAAAAACAAAGTTATTTAAATGATTAAGATGGAAATTACATTTTCAGAATGATAGTAAAGTTACCCTAAAAACTGGTGGTTATTGAACAAGGGTAATAGTCCTGATTTTAGGAAGCAAGCTTAATTTATCTATAATTCAAAATAGCTCTTCACAAATAATTTACCCATCTATAGAAGCTTCCTGCAACTGATTCAAACGAGTCAGACGAGTTTGGTGATCAAGATGAGTTTGCCCTTTTCCATTTGTTGTTTTGTTTTTTTATCTTTTTGAATGCCCACATCCTTTCTTTTCCCTCTCCATAAGAAAATTAATTTGTCCAGTTTAGTCTCCAGCATTAATATCTGATTATTCTCGATATCTTTACCTTAATAGGCTCTTCCACTTCAATTTCTTCCTGATTCCTTTCCTTGTTTTCTTTTCCATTTTCCTGTAGTAGAAAGAATGTTAGTAAGATAAAACTAACCTCTCAAAGTTTACAATAGCAAGCTTTTTATGTAAAAAAATTTCACATAATGAGTAAATATCATACCGAATAAAATCACAGAGTAGTTATATGAACAAATTCAAACAGTAACAGTCTTATTATATATAAGAAATGCCAACCAACTGAAAGCAGGTCACTGTGACCCAACGGTTAGTTGACCACTTTTTTCAGCATTTTTATCAAAACCTGATGCAGAATACTTTAACTAAAAAGAGAAATAATTAAATGATAGAATACAATGTTGCATCCCAGTTTTCCCAAGAATACTGAATCTCAAATCTTCTCATGGTTAAATGATTAGAAACCTCTATAGGTCAGGTACCTGAGTCGGTTTGGGTTCCTCTTGAGATGCTGACTCACTCATCCGGACCACTAAAAAGATATCACCAGATACTAGAGAAAACTACTACCAGAACGGTAGTAATAACAAAAAAAGAGAAAGAAAATATTAACGACAAAAGGTACTCTTGAAGATCAAAATCTCCCCCACCCCCCACTGCATCCACCATTATGTTGAATGGCAAGTTCTCAACTGCTAAAATTTTTCAAACTGTCCTACTGTTATTACTGGCCAAAGCTAGATTAGTCTAGGCTAGTGCTCAGGGAGACAGGAAAATTCACGATAGTAATCATCACCATTATCATTAAAAAACAGTAGCCAGCAACAGTAAGGGAATTGAATTTTTAAAACATTATTATCATCCTCATTAATTTTTGAAAAACAACAATAAAGGTGAGGTGAAGTGTAACTCTGATGTTACTTAACTCATGTGTAAAGGCAGACAAGACATTAGAATAATAACCTTGCTAAAAAGCTCTCTTTTTGAGGAGAGAGTTCTGAGAAGAATGGGATTTATCTGGTTTATTTATTCATATTAAGGAATTGAAATGAATATTACCCAATCCCCACCTCATCGCAAATGGCTACAGAGTTAGTTACAAACTATCAAAATTACTGCTAGACCAAAAATCATTTGAGTTTGTGTATATTTAGCAAGGTGTTATGTAAAAGTTAATTTTAAATACATGGCCTCTGCTTCTAGAGTGATTACAATTTAGGGACTTGTTCAATTGAAATGGTAAGTTAATAATGTGCTGGAGTGTTCACTTTTCTTTTTATCAACATAACACATGTTCTAGTTGAATAAAGCAAAAGTACTGGCTTTGGAGACAACAGATTCCAACACTTAAAAATAGCTGCCTCAAAGTCTTTTTGAAGCAGTTCATAAATAATAAATAGTACAAAATGCATTTCTTTGATAGGTCCCAATTGTGCATTCTCGCAGACTGCTTTCTTTGCTTACGTGTCCATCTCCTGAAATTGCTAAGAAGCTACCTTCCATTTCTTTTAAATTCTGTTTTGTTTGGATGCTCCAGATCCTTTATTGGTAAATTGGCTCAAGATCCTTTATTGAGTACTTTCTATATGCAGGCAGACATTGGGCTTAAAAAAGGTGGATAAGATGTACCTTTGAAGAGGTCCCAGTTTAGTGAGGGGAAAAGGAATAAACATACAATTTAATCTGCAAGTGCAAAAGTAGAGGCACTTATATAATGCTAACGAATACAGAGGAATGAGTGTTGATTTTCCTAGGAAGGGTCAGGGAAGTTTTCACAGAAAAATAGGTTTCCAAGTTGGATTTTAAGGGACTAGTAAGACATTTCTGTGAAAAGGAGAGGGAAGAGTATTTGAGGCAGACGGAGCAATGCTACACTAATGTATGAGATTTCAAAAGGTGTTCAAAGCATTCATGTAGCAGACCATAGATATATAAGAGGAAGTAGCAGAAAATGAGCTAAAAAGGAAATCTTCAATTTGTGAAGAATTATTCATGCTAAATCAAGGAGTTTGGACTTTATTCTGTGCTTTTTAAGCACAGGACAGATGTAATCAAGTTGGTGCTTTAAAAAACAAAATGACAAAATCACTTTGGAGGAAAGCAAGCACCTAAAAAATTGTAACTAGCATCTACATAGCAATTTATAAATAATTATTATTGTAGTTCAGCTCAGCACATACTAAATACTCAATACTTGTAAATTGAATTGAAGGGAATTTCAGTTAATTGAAATATGAATTGAAATTGTTAAGTTTTAAATACTGTAAAGAATTTCTGTCAGGACAGGAAGTGTGAAGGCTGGGGGAAGAGAGAATAAAGGTAAATTTTGCACCTTAAATGTTGCACCTAAGGTGAACCTTGGTGAGCCCCTCACTCTAGCTGAGGCTCTGCCAGACATTGTCAGTACCCAAATCATATCCTTCAGCTTCACCTTTTCAGTACATGCAGATGGTCTCTGACTGCAAGTGTCTGCAGTTCTGTCTGCCGTCTTGTTATCAGTCCAAAGGTAGGCGTAGGCCAGAAATGCTAAGAGAGTTAATATCTTACAGGTGAACAGTAGATAGGAGGCTGCATATATCCAAGTGATGGAAAATTTCTGAAGTATGTTCTATACTGTCCCCCAGAGTTCCCCAATGGGATTGGATTTCAGTTGCCCACAGTTGTCCACAGAAAGCTGCCCAATAATGCATTTGATAACCACCCAATAATGGACGTTTTCATCATTTGCCTGTATTACTTCTCTACTCTCTTTCCATTATTTCTGGAACCACCTCCCAAATGAACTTGCACTCAATTCCTTGGATCATGGTCTATTCTGAGGGAATCCACACTAAAACAGATACAATGATCTGGTTTGGAGGCATAATTGGATCTAAGAAGTGACAGAGGAATAGTCAAGGCTCACTGAATATTTTTTCGTATGTAGAAGCCTGAATGGATGATGATTACATTAAGTAAAATAAGGAAAGGAGAGAAAAACAAGTTTGAAGAATGATACAAGTTTGAATTTGGAGGTGTTATGTTTGAGATACCTGTTCAACAGGCTGATAAAAGTTTTCAGTAAGACTCTGAATGCCACTGAAATATTGCTACATTGGCAGGAAGTTATGCAAAATCAAGTCATTGGAAAATGATAGCAGCATTAACTTGTACTTTAATTAGTCAAAGTACATAGTATTCTGCATTCCTTAATTCCATCCATGAGGTTACAGAGTCATTCCACTTTGGTTATCAGCTATGAGACAGAGCCTTTGTGAATCTCTTTAAGAAACCTCCCCATACACTCCCAATAGATTTGTGAATTGTTGAATTGCAGCATTTGGCATCTTGGTTGGCAAGACTTTGAGTCATATATGAAATTATCCTTAAAAAGGGGGTTTTCCAGTATAAGAGAGAACTCATACTGATTTTATTCTGATTTCTCAGACTAATTGAAGATAAGACATTTCATTTACCTGGATTTCTTATGTATTAATACAAAAATGCATTTGAAGGAGGATGCTAGTGGAGCTCACAGAATAAGAATAGCTAGAAAAAAGCCCTTGTTCATGAACACTTAAAGTAGGGTTGAGAAAGAAGAACCAATGATGTTTTTTGTAAGTGCCATGGTAACCACAAAGCAAAGACCTGAAGTAGATGCACAAAAGTTAAAGAGAATGGAATCAAAACACACCACTACAGAAAATCATCAGCTCACAAAGAAAGGCAGCAAGAGAGGAAGAAATCAAAAAAGGAACTATAAACAGGCAGAAAACAATTAATAAGATTAATTAGTAAGTCCTTACCTATCAGTAAGTACTCTAAATGTAAATGGATTACTTTTTCTGTCAAAATGCATAGAGTGGTTGGATGGATTAAAAAACAAAACAAAACAAAAAAGCAAGACCCCTGAAAAGCTTTTGTACAGCAAAGGACACCACCAATAGAACAAAAAGGTATCCTACAGCATGGGAGAATATATTCATAAATGACAGATCTGATAAAGGGTTGACATCCAAAATACATAAAGAGCTCACATACCTCAACAAATAAAAAGCAAATAATCCAATTAAAAATGGGCAGAGGAGCTGAACAGACAGTTCTCCAAAGAAGAAATTCAGATGGCCAGCAGACACATGAAAACATGCTCCACATCGCTAGTCATCAGAGAAATGCAAATTAAAACCACAATGAGGTATCACCTCACACCAGTAAGGATTGCCACCATCCAAAAGTCAAACAACAACAAATGTTGGCAAGGTTGTGGAGAAAGGGAAACCCTCCTACACTGCTGGTGGGAATGTAAATTAATTCAACCATCGTGGAACGTAATATGGAGGTTCCCCAAAAAGCTCAAAATAGAAATACCATTTGACCCAGGAATTCCACTTATAGGAATTTACCTGAAGAATGCAGCAGCCCACTTTGAAAAAGACATATGCACCCCTATGTTTATTGCAGCACTACTTACAGTAGCCAAGAAATGGAAGCAACCTAAGTGTCCATCAGTAGATGAATGGATAAAGAACATGTGGTACATGTACACAATGGAATACTATTCAGCTATAAGAAGAAAACAAATCCTACCATTTGCAACAACATGGATGGAGCTAGAGGGTATTATGCTCAGTGAACTAAGCCAGGTGGAGAAAGACAAGTACCAAATGATTTCACTTATATGTGGAGTATAAGAACAAAGAAAAACTGGAGGAACAAAACAGCAGTAGAATCACAGAACCCAAGAATGAACTAACAGTTACCAAAGGGAAAGGGACTGGGGAGGATGGGTGGGAAGGGAGGGATAAGGGGGGGAAAGAAAGGGGGATTTACGATTAGCATGTATAATGTTGGGGGAGGCAAGGGGAGGGCTGTGCAACACAGAGAACACAAGTAGTGACTCTACAGCATCTTACTAAGCTGATGAACAGTGACTGTAATGGGGTTTGTGGGGGGGACTTGGTGAAGAGGGGAGCCTAGTAAACATAATGTTCCTCATGTAATTGTATATTAATGATACCAAAAAAAAAAAGCAAGACCCAATTATAAGTTTCCTACAAGAGACTCATATCAGCTTTAAGGACACACATAGGTTCAAAGCGAAGGGTTGGAAAAAGATATTCCATGCAAACAGAAACCAAAAGCAAATAGAGGTAGCTATACTTAAATCAGACAAAATAGACTTTAATCCAAAATGAGAGATGAAGCAAGTCTTTATATAACGATAAAGGAGTCAATTCATTGAGAATAATGGTTGCAGAGTTACAATATTAATTGAATTCACATCCCAGCCAAATTACATGAGAAAATTGGGGTACTGATTGGGAAGCAAGAGGGACCCTGAAATTGGGATTATCTCCAACTCCTGAGTTACTCTGAGCCTCTCTTGTCAATGGAAGCAGGTTTTCTTCCATTGGCAAGAGAAATTGTGGAGACTAGACTTTTATGAACTCAAAACTTTGTAATAAGCTCATCTAGGACAATTGCCTTGCAAGGGGAAGTCCATTTTCCTCAAGACTCACCACAACCACGTCTTAATTCTAGTTGATTCATAACTAAAGTCACATGTTAAAATGCTCCAGCTGCA